CTGCCTTTTTGTCTTAAATCTTGTTAAATTTAAGAAAAAATTCTCTCAATGTCTGTCTTCCAGAATCTCAATTTTTGGATGAAATGCTCTCAGAGTTCTCTCTCTTTTGGAATTTTTTAAATCTTTCTCTGAATACTACAAGTTATCTACACTGGCTGGTGTCTGTTGTTATCATTATGTAACACAATAATATTCTTGGACAAGGTACATAAATTCCTTTTCTTAATAATTATTTTCTAAGAGTTCTTTTTCAAACTAATCTGTGTATGCAAGTTTCATTAATTTTCATTTTCCTTCAATTCAGGTGTATTATTTTTTCCCCAAGTGATAATGTGATCCAAAATCTTTCCAAGCCAACTATTGCTTCCTACAGTGTAAAGAAAAGGAGAAGTCACACTGCCATGGTAGCAAAATTTCTGGGTCTCAGTGAACTGTGGTCCTGCCAATATGGTGGGGAAAAAACAACAACAAAAAATGTTCTGTGCGTTATCACTCTTAGGAATGAAAGGGTCGCTGGTATTTTCCTTCCATCATTGGACAATACAAATGGCCGTCTGTCTCTGTCAAGGAAGATTATTGATCCAGAAATCTTGCTTACATGGTAATATGACATCACACATCTCTCTATAGAACCAATATTCTGTGGTTTATTTGACAATGATAATAGATCAGTAGGAATTTTAAAACAAATCGTATAGCATTGACATTATTTTATTTTACAGAGTATTTGGCTTACCTGCTGATTTTAAAGAGGGTGTTGTCTTTAGTACATACGCAACACTGGTGTCGTCTGTTCAAAAAGGTGAGCATGCAGTATGAATGTCATCTATCACTGACAATAGACAAGGTTCCTCTTTTTGTTGATCTGTTTTATTATCTTTTTGACAGGTGCTAATCGTCAGAGCAGATTGCAACAGCTCATAGACTGGTGCGGTGGTGAGCAGTTTAATGGATGCCTCATATTTGACGAGTGTCATAAAGCAAAGCATTTTGTTCCTGTAAGTAATTTACAGTAGTTTAGCCCTTATTCTTCGCATTCATAACTGCAACAAATGCATGTAAATACCTTATTTAGGGCAAAAAGCATGGTTTATTAGAAACTGCTACTATGTGATCATCATTATTCAAGTTACGTTTTGTATGAAGTGGATGAGAGGACAACAGTTTGTGTTCCCTTTACATTACATATAGTTCACATAAAGCTTGACTGCACAGTGGGTTTCTTGAGAATGCAATTGGTCTTGTTGCACTTGTTAATGAATGCACAACCATTACACTTTCCACACATGCAAATTGACACCAATGATGCATATTAACACCAGAGACAGATTTTACAAGTCATGGATTCAACTAAGTACTCTGCTCACTGTAGCTTATTTCATTTTAGGGCAAAGAAGAATCCAGCACAAAAGTTGCTCTTGCTGTCACAACAATACAGAGGTATGATAAAGTTATTCGACTTCATTTTTGAATATCAATTGTTAGCATGTAATTAACACTCTAATGTAATAATTAAAGTGCTAATAATTTTACAATTTGAAAGAAGCAGGGAGCAGCGATGGAGCAGTTGTAATCGAGCACTTGCCTCCCACCAATGCGGCTTGAGTTCAATTTCCAGAGTTGATGCCATAAACGTTGGGAGGGGAGGTGTGACAAGTGAGCTAATTAAAAGTAACTGTACTCATCTGCTCAAAATTAAAAACGAGCTGAAAATCGGTTGTTTTTACAAATAAAGTCAGGAAGAATTCTCTATATTTTCCGGGCGTTTTTAGTAAAACAATTATTTCGGATATAAGATGATTATAGCCAACTCATATCCAACACGCACTTGTGGAATAATTGTTAAATATACCTGACCTCCTTACTGTCTCTACAGAGTTCCCCCCCCTTCCCGTTCAGTAACTGCTGTGCCCAAATTTTCTCCTCTTTACAGATTTATTCTTTTTTCACTTTATAGAATGCTATCCAAAGCTCGTGTTGTGTACTGTAGTGCAACTGGTGTGACAGATGTAAAAAATATGGTAGGTGTAGAGAAAGTATTATTTTAAATAATTGACAATAACTTGATTTTGACTGAGTGTCAGGAAACAGCATGTTACTGTTAAAAGGTATCCAACTTTACTTTGCTAGTTTTTCGCAAACAATGCACTAAGTAAAGGTTGGCATGTACCTTTTAAAGTACGCTGTACGCAGTTAGCATCTTATATGATACCACTGTACAAAGTTAAAATTTTAAAGTGAAACTTGATCTTGCGACTTGATCTTGTACCGGGGAACAAAGA